ATCGTAATGTGCTCTTCTGAAGTGTTGATGGCAATAGCTAATATTTTTCCATGCTTAACTGTGTTTACCACATTTCCGAGACGGACGTTTTCTCCTTGTAGAATTTGTGAATGAAGTACTAAAGCTGTTCCTTCCGGTCTCGTGCTAGCGATTGGTACGATGGTTTCTGAACGCGGCGAAAGTTTGAGAGGATCGGTATTCATTTGAAATATTTTGGACGAATAATAATCTATTGCGATACGATTTTCGGTAAGAAACGGGTTTCCTAAAATACCTTCATGAGGGATTGGGAAATCGTCATTGACTACCTGGAATTTGGTTGTAAGGGTTTCAGTGCCAAGATTTAAATTGAGGGTTACGGAACCTAGCGTGCGTACTAAGTATTCATTGATTCCTTTTAGCTGATAACTGTGAGTTTCATCAACCATGACTTCATTTCTTAAAGTGGATAATTTTATCATATTTAAATCACTACCAGTATCTATAAGTAACTTAACACTATTTGTCAAGCACTGAGGAATTTTTAATGTGATATGCTTATTAATTAATTCTGCCTGGAAATAGAAAGCCCTTGCAGGTTCAGAGTGGCTGTTTTGATATCCCCCACCGGGCGAGCGCCACTTGGACCCGGCGTTTGTTCGTTTCCCGACGAAGTGCTTAGTTGCTCCTGTGCAACGTACTCATTAACGTACTTTCGTTTGCGACATTCACTTATAGTGTGGTTCGGTCTTTTACAATAGTTGCACGTAACTATTCTGATAGCTTTTGTTTCCGTTTTACTCTTATTTTGCGATTCTCTGTAACGGGCTTGATCGGCTTCTGATGCACGGCATTGTTTTGCCTGATGATTTGTACGTCCACAACGAAAACATGCACCAGGTGGTCTACTGTTAGATTTTTGTACCGAATTTGTCTTGCTTCCGTAGCTATTACTCGGCTTAAAATCAGTCCTATTGTTTTTATAAACATTATTGGTTTTGCGAATTTCTTTTTGATTATTACGTGAAGTTTATTCTTCCAATGCAATTTGGACACACTCCGATAATTTATTCGGTCTACTAGCTTTTACTAAAATCTTTGTATCGTGTGGTAACCCTTCGGTATAAGCTGATAAAACTTGCCCCTCTGTTATTTTGGATAAATCGTCGGTATTAGAAATTTCATTTGTTGCCATGGATGCTTCTATAATGTCGTAATATAATTGCTCAGCCCTGTCGCTAAATTGCTGAATAGACTCCCCCGAAGCTATCTTAAATGTTGATAATTTCGAATGTAAATGCATTAACGTTTGTTTTTTGTTAACAGTGAGGTCTAAAGTTTCCTTAAGTTCCTTGTAAGTGGTAGGTTTTTTATGTCTAAATGGACGTATGGCCTTGCCTATTAATCGAGTTGTTATACCCCTAATTAGATTTTCTTTCTCTGCTAGGTCGATGCTTTGTAACGCATATTCGCATGCATTATGAAATGCAAAACTATCATCAGCATTTTCCCCATTGTACAAAGGGATCAAGTTTAAAGCTTGGTGTGTCGTCATAAACTTTGACATTATTGTTTTCTTTACTGCTTGATTTTGATTAAGAGTTAATTTAAGTAAGTTTCTCGCGTCTTCGAGAACCGAGTCAGTGATACCTATAGAATTGTTCGTCCTATCTAAAACATGTTCCGACTGAGATATATTGCTGTACCTACTATCATCGGAGTCGAATTCACCAGAAGGTTCGTATAATTCCCCGCTAGAAGGGACACTAACACTACTTTCTAGATCTATAAGATTTTCAGAACTACTGGTTTCGTTTTGATCAATATCTGACATAGACTTCGATTGATATAAAATAAATAGCCCGAGTAAATAACCAAACAATATAGAATTAATTAATTAATTAATTAATTTCCTCAATTACCTTTCCGATTCCATGCAAATAACAAAAATAAAAGCAAATAAAAAAAAGAAAAAAAATAATAATAAAAAGAAAAGCGTACACCAAAATTAAAGTATTAATAATATAAAATTATAATAGTACAAAATTAATTACGATCGCTTTTATTATATTGATTTCGATTTATTTTTCCGTCCCTTAAATCGTACTGTTACTAATTTTATATTACTGCACAACCGAATAAATCATCCTGCGTTTATGCGTTGCGATTTATTAAAAAAAAGAAAATTGTGGTAACTTACAAGAACGAGGCGGCTATATATGATAACATTGTTGATGGTGATAACCGTTTGTTTTGATTGATACGCGATGACGACAGCTGTGACCTAGTTATTTCGTCGACGGCGGCGGCGGCGGCGTCTTCGATATATCACGAATGCGGCGGCGCTGACGTCCTTGACACTCCGTACGCGTATAAAATTGTTGACTCCCGCTGCCACCAAATGATGCGTACCGGCGCGCTGTTATTCCTAGTTTAGAGATTAGGGACGTGTTTTAAAGAAATAATGCAAAGATGCTGTTTAAAAGATTAAAAGATGTGTTTATTGACTTATTAAAATGATTTGCTGTATAAAAATGAAAAGAGGTTCTGACTGGATGCCTGTGTCTACGAGACTGCCGAGGCGGCCGTGACCAAGGGTTCTGTACAACGGCCAGGGTGGGAATTGCTGGATCAGCAGATTCCTGGTCGAGCGTCCAGCTCCGTAGTCACGTACGCCAGTATACATATCATAATACAAATATTATACTCTAATATAACTATATACTACATACTTTGCTTACATATAACACTGTGTCGCGTAAGACGTACAACGGTCGGCGGAAAAGGCGATTCGAGATCCACCATCGGACCGTCGGACCGATAACATATCGTCCGACGATTAACTCATCTGCCCTAGCGGCACGTCATGTATTATTATATTTTGGTCGCAATATTATAATACATAATTTGTGACATTCTTAAAGTGTTTGTGTTGTGTTTTTTTCATCACCTCAATCCTAACCAAACACTTCGACCGGACCACGATCAACCTTGAAGCAATCATCGTGTCCGCGTCACATGGTACACTACTATGACGCTTAGAATTACATAATCTAGTAGATGCACGACAAGCACATCCATTGGTCTTACACTGTATTTTACAGTGACACCTTGTAAAACCTCGGGATCCAGAAATGCTGTTAAAGGCAGCTGCTTCAAGGAGAGTTATTTCCCCTCCCTCTATCGATTTACTTACAACCGTTTCAAGATCTAGAAGCTTCTCCTTGCATGGGTTGATTTCTGTCCTGGCATACTTATGTTTCATAAATCCATCTTCTGTACCTATAAAAATAATAATAATAAATAGTAAAAAAAAAATAATATAATAAAAAATAAAATAATATTGAGTTGTTTCAAATAATTATATAATTTATGCTTACATAATTTATATAAATTATTTTTCACATCAGTTACAACTGCCAATACATTTCATGGAAAGCCACGAGCTCGGCCAACATCAGATACGCACAGATGTTCTTCTTCAAGTGCCAGGTATTTTGAATTAGATATTTTTACCATTTTTTTCGTTTGTTTCGTGTTGAATTTTCCGCTTTCATTGATTAATTATAAAATTATTTATATTAAAATAAAATATACACTAGTAGACATTAATTTTATTGTTTATCATACTAAGTTCTGAGTTATTGCCAGTTCCTGGTCCGTTTTCTTCAACTTGTGTAGTATGACATTGTTCAGAGTCCAATGAATGTGTTTAGTCAATTTTATTATAAGTTATAAGCAATAAAAACGATAACATAAAACAGGATTTATCATATTATATACTAATAAGTAATAGTATAGATGGATATTTTCCATAATCAGATCGATCGAGCGGTGTTGATATTTTTTTCGATTCGGATCTATAACATTGCCTAATATAATACGGAAATGTTGTTAAAAGTACGAAATATCCAACATTGCCTTACCTTTCCAGTCATTGTCAACAATGACTAGGATATACCGACAATTCCTGGATTTTCATCTTTTCCGGTAACATATATAATATATTTAGCTGTGCCATATGGGTCGGGGGCAGTTGTCCGAAAAATGATAAGGACCCGGGTCGAAAGACAGCTGCATAAAATGTATTGCCAACATTACATTTCTAAAAATTATATTATACAATAACTTTTTTGTTTGTGGGATTAGTCTGTTTTACCGTTATGATAATTATTATATTATTTGATAATTATTATATTTAATTAAACTATATACCACTAACCGAAACGGGACGGGTATAGCTATTGCTGATATCCCGATATTGATAACAACATATAACAGTGAACCTGATGAGAACAAAAAAAAAAATTAAATAAAAAATAAAAAATTCGGTTTCATACCAATAGTGATTTTTCAAAAAATGAGGAGCAAGAAATTTTGTCTTCTATAAAATAAAACCCTGTTTATCCTGGTCATCATAATAATAATATATTCATATTTTAATACTCTTAACTTTATAATTTCATATTATAATTTAGAATACAGCTATTTAATAAGTACTCACGATTTCTAGTAATATTATTAATTTTTTTTGAATTAATTGCAGTTTTAATATTGATATTTTTAAAATATCAATGAGGGTCTAAGTGTTTTAAAAACCAAAAATGTCGAATATCAATATTTTAGAAAATCAAAAAAGTTATCCCAAGGCTGAACACTACTAAGACAGTGAGATCAATTCGACATCAGAAGAAAATCTTCGATTCAACACTTAACGAGCTACATAATGACACATAATATTGTATGTATAATTTTGACTTAGATTAAATGCCAAAATTGTGGGGTCGTGGGGGAATAAAAAAAAGAAATAGACATGGTAATAACGACATATGGTCCACTGAACACCTGTATACCAGGACGTTTGCTATTTAAATTGTTTTTTTAGAGTTTACCTTTAAAAATTTATAAGAAAAATGAACAATAATAAATTCTTGTATGTTGTAAGGGAAAAAGTTCACTTTACATTTTTAAGTAATATAGTATATAAAAATTAATTATGTGTGAGATCAATGGACAGTGGTCATGACGCAAAGTCAAATTCATTCAAATACATCATAATATAAAATATTTAAATCAAAAAATAAAGATCAATAAATAACCATAACTTTTATTTAAATAAAAAGTAACAAATTTAATAATAAAAAAAATAGATACAACAACTTAATATTATTATCTGAAGAGTTTCCTTTTGGTAATATTAATAGAGATGGAATAGACTCAATAT